ATCACATTCTCGTCTCGTTTTTGTTAGTAAACGAAACTGTCAGTATATTTTTATCATAGTTTTCATCATCATTACTTGTTTTTTATTTAGTTTTCGTCGAAAGAAGATCGTCACAAAAATTATGACGTCATTTTTTGTCAACAAAATTAACACTGGTTGGGGTTAGGGTTAATGTAAATTAACATGTATGGCCTATGTTTCTTACAGTCAGTTAAATCTCTGTTGAAAGAGGAGTATCATCAGATATTAAGCAGACAGTCTACTAATACTCAAATGAGCAATAATTGGCATGTAGTTGCAAAGTCAACAAAATGTGCAATATGAATAAGCAAAATAAAGTGTTACCATTTTGTCTTCAACTGTACGCCATTTTGTCTGCCAAATAAACAATCCAGTGGAGTTGACAGATTAACATTGGTTTACCTTAATTAAAAACAAAAATAAAAACGTCTGGTATGGGACTGAAACACACAGGATGAGGACTACCAAAAAACATTCTTTTTCAAAAAAAACTTATAACACATTATTATTATTATTACATCTGTATGGTCAGTCAAAGTCACAATTCATAAAAAATTCACTTTTTAATAGTTATCTACATGGAGAAATAGGGTTTTTCTCAGACAAAATTGTGTAGTTAGTATAAACACCAGCAGAGGGGCTCATTTGCCCATGATAACCGGACAAACTTGAAATGGCCCATGAGGCCAAATCCAAAACAGATCTGTGCTGCCATCTACAGTAAAATATGTGTGTTTACACACACACACATATATATATATATATATATATATATATATATATATATATATATATATATATATATATATATATATACAGTGTCCTCTACTAAATACAAAAGCACAGTCATACTGTAAAAAAAATCCTGGTTGCCTTAAAGTTTTCAGCTGAAATAAATTAACCTTATCAGTCCATTGAACTTGTATTACGTTAAACTGACTTAAAACAGATTGTGTAACTTATAAAATTAAGTTAGAACATGATTAACTTTTTAAAATAAGTTTAATAAGTTACTGTGTACTAAAACATACAGTATGCTGTCATGATTAACTGATCATATGTTTTTCAGTGCAGAAATGCTGCGTTATTTCAACCCAAAAGGGGTAAAATGCAAAGCCAAATGCTGAATGTAACCCAGGAGTTGGGTTTGTACAAGAACAAAAATGTAAGGTTTTAAAAAGGAGGAACCCAACCCAAACCCACGCCTAACCCTATCCGTCATTAAGGTCATGAGCAAATAGTACTGAATTGTACAAATTAGATCACACAAATTCATACAAATTAGCCACTAAATCAAAAAGTTACGAATTGCCGTGAGATTGAGTTTAGCATTTTTAGAGCACACCCTTGGTAAATGTTTTATTTGAAACCTTTAAATTATTATATTTAAGATATTTTGAAGAATGTTTGAGCCCAGCTGGGTCGGTTGGCGTTTCTGTATGGAGTTTGCATGTTCTCCCCGTGTTCGCATGGGTTTTCTGTAAATGCTTCGCATTCCCCCACAAGTCCAAAGATGTGGTATAGGTGAATTGGGTAAGCTAAATTGTCCGTAGTGAATGTGCTTTTATGGGTGTATATGGATGTTTCCCAGTATTGGGTTGCAGCTAAAAGGGCATCAGCTGAGTAAAAACATATGCTGGATAAGTTGGTGGTTCATTCCACCATGGTGACCCCGGATTAATAAAGAGACTACGCCAAAAAGAAAATGAATGAATTAATGTTTACTGGCACCTACTGACTACCATAGTAGAAAAACATAATTTCACAAATAATACGTTTTTTTTTAATAATGAAACATTATTAATAATTCAGAATATATGAATATTTGAACTCATAATATAGACTAAATAACTGCTAAATAACTAAAAGTTATTCTGTATTTTGGGTCTCCACTAGATGTATAAATGTAAAACTGTGTAGGGTTAGGGGATGATGAGGGTTCTTAATTATACCATATATACACTACCTGATAAAAGTCTTGTCGACTATCCAAGTTTTAGGAACAACAAAAAATAATTTGACTTCTAAGTGATCATTTTGTATCAGAAGTGGCTTATATGAAAGGCAAAGGCCTCTAGATTACACTTATTTGACCAAAATAAAATATGATCTATGGACAGTAGGACAGTAAGATCTGACTTTGCTTAGAAAAAGTTTTGTCACTGAACAGAAATGATGTCGAGTATAGAATATAAAGTCCTGCTGCAGTGGAGACAGATTGAATATTGTGTCTGACTCCATCGTGAGCTTGGAGGACTGCATCCATACATCTCTGCAATGACTCAAATCACTGATTAATAAAGTCATCTGTAATGGCAAAGAAAGCGTTCCTGCAGGACTCCTAGAGCTCATCAAGATTCTTTGCCATCTTCAATGCCTCCTCCATCTTACCCCAGATATGCTCAATAATGTTCATGTCTGGTGACTGGGCTGGCCAATTCTGGAGCTCCTGGACCTTCTTTGCTCTCAGGAGCTTTGATGTGAAGGCTGAAGTATGAGAAGGAGCGCTATCCAACTGAAGCCTTTGCCCTCCTTTGTGGTTTGTAATGTAATGGGCAGCACAAATGTCTTGATACCTCAGGCTGTTGATGTTGCCATCCACTCTGCAGATCTCTCACATGCCCCCATACTGAATGTAACCCCAAACCATGATTTTTCCATCAACCAAACTTGACTGTTTTTTGTGAGAATCTTTGGTCCATGTGGGTTCCAGTGGGTCTTTGTGATGATTTTGATGCACCTCAACAGATGATTCATCAGAAAAATCGACCTTCTGCCACTTTTCCAAATGATGAAGTATTGGTACAATTTTATACAGTGTAACAAAAGTCTGAAGCTTTAAACTTAAAAAGATTCATTGCTCTTATTGTAATTGCATAGAAAGGCCAATAAATTCAGAATAGATCTTCTTTTTTTGTGTTATTATGGGTAAATCTTCTCCTTGAGCATTATATTCACCTAAAAAGAGATCGTGTTGCTCTCCGGTGTCTATCAATTAGACTAAAAATAGACTCATAAAATTAGGTCATACTGTGCAACAACTGTTGGAGCTGGACAGTGTCCAGTGCAAGACTCCTGACAATACTTTCATTGCTGGTCTTCATACCATACTAAATTTAAAGTATATATGTATGTTCATGTAGTAAATATGATAACATCTATGTACTAGTATACTGGTGAGTGTACTACTTGAAAACCACTTGGGTTTAAATTGGCCCCCTTTTTAGTATATTAATGTTTTCTTTTAAATATATTGCAAGTTTTTCATTTGTACTGCAAGTGAATACTTGTAAATAATTTGTGAAGGAAGGAAGGAATGTCATAACAAGCGGTGAAGTATAGTGTACGCTTACTGGTAGAGTTCTAGTGTTATAATGCAAGCATACTTGCAGGGGTTCTGTTGTGTATTCTTAGTTAAGTAGTAGCTTTATTTCCTTCAAGTGTACTTAGTATTTTCTTTCACTAAGGATAGTTTGAAGTCAAACCATTTGCTCGAAATGGGATATATCGCCCTCCAATGGACACTTCAGGGTGAAAAAATCGTGCCACATTGAGCCACTCCAAACTGAAGTGATCTAAACTAGACACATTGAAGGGCCCTTTGGAATGAAGGATTTAAAAAATACAGCTGATGCTCACTTTGGGAAATTTGGGTAGCTGTCACACACTGGTATATTGTGAAAGGGTCGTCCCTATGCATTAATCCCCTCAGAGTGACCCTTCGATGGGATTAGGGCATAATAATAAGCCCTTCAAAATGGAATCCACCCATTAAGTGCAATTAGCGCTGTACCTAACTTAAAATAAACTGAAGTTACAACGGAGCATATTTTTACTTAGAAAGTCATCTCCAAAAGCAGGGGAGAGTGTCATATTATGTGGACAAAAGTATTCAGTAGACCACTCAATCAAAGAAGTGAAAACACCAACAACCAAGTATACTTAGAATATTTAATTATACTTTTAAGTACACTTACCGGCCACTTTATTAGGTACACCTGTCCAACTGCTTGTTAACGCAAATGTCTAATCAGCCATTTACATGGCAGCAACTCAATGCATTGAGGCATGTAGACATGGTCAAGATGATCTGCTGCAGTGCAAACCGAGCATCAGAATGGGGAAGAAAGTGGATTTAAGTGACTTTGAATGTGGCATGGTTGTTGGTGCCGGATGGGCTAGTCTGAGTATTTCAGAAACTGCTGATCTATTGGGATTTTCACACACAACTATCTCTAGGGTTTACAGAGAATGGTCTGAAAAGAGGAAATAACAGTGAGTGATGTTTCTGTGGGCGCAAATGCCTTGTTGATGCCGGAGGTCAGAGGAGAATGGCCAGACTGGTTCCAGCTGATAGAACGGCAACAGTAACTCAAATAACCACTATCATTGGTGGTGTAATAGTGTGGAGGTTATTTTCTTGGCACACTTTGGGCTCATTAGTACCAACTGACCATCGTGCCAATGCCATACTCATCTTCTGATGGCTACTTCCAGCAGGATAACGCACCATGTCATCAAGCGCAAATCATCTCAGACTGGTTTCTTGAACATGACAATGAGTTCACTGTGCTCAAATGGCCTCCACAGTCACCAGATGTCAATCCAATAGAGCACCTTTGGGATGTGGTGGAACGGGAGATTCGCATCATGGTTCATGGAAATCTACAACAACTGCTTGATGCTATCATGTCAATACGGAGCAAAATCTCGGAGAAATAAATAAAGTACCTCGTTGAATCTATGCCACAAAGGATTAAGGCAGTTCTTAAGGCAAAAGGGCAAACCAGGTACTAGTAAGGTGTACCTAATAAAGTGGCCGGTGAGTGTATATGTCATTGAAGGTCTAACGTACAGAAAAAAACTTCTGACAGTATAAATCAAGTATATTTACACTGTGAGCACAATATTAAGTATTTCCTGAGAAATACCTGAAGCACATTTTAACATTATACTAATCATACACTTGAATAAACTTCTTTTTTTTTTTTTAAATAAAGGTAGGAACCTTGAAAGGGAACCTTAGTTTAACCTATGCATTTATGTTACATAGTGAAAAGAATAATGAGTAATTTGCATGTAGTTATAGTGGACACAAAAATATTTCAACATTCATACAAAGTTGTGTTGAATTATGACTCTAGCGTAGCGCAAAACTGAAACTTACATAGGCAAATAATTCATAATTTAAGGAAATCATCAGCGTCTCTCTGCGGGACTAACAGGATACAGGAGAAAACCGGAGAAGGTGGAGTCATTGGTATTATCAGCATACACTCCTCCAACCGTCTCGTCTCCATAGACCTGCAGCCACACTTCATCTCCTGCCTCCAAACGCAAGATCACAGAGCCTGACGCCTGGTCCACATTGGTCTCCTGGTACTGGTCATAAGTGAACATGATGGCCTTGTCGTTCTTGTAGAGACTGACCTTCGCATCTTTAGTGTAGACGGTCAGATGGTACGTGAAGAAGTAGACTCCAGGCAGGACGCAGCGGAACTTTCCGGACACATCATCATAGTGGTGCTGGTCGTTGTAGAAGAACTTGTTGAAGCGGATTGGCACGTTGGTGGCGGAAACAATCTCACTGAGACCTACACTGAAAGCTGAATGGTAGGACGAGGCACTTTCGCCTCGAGCCCCTTTTAGGCCTGGGTTGCCAGGAAAGCCTCTTGGTCCTGCGTTGCCTATGTCTCCCTTTTCTCCAGGGTCGCCTTTCTCACCTGCTTCACCTGCAAATAACACAGAAACATTACGCACAACTGGGTTTGCAGTAGGGGAGAGCGAGGTACAAAGTAACACTTTTTGGCTTTGGGCAAATAATGAACAAAATAATGAGGTTAGACCAGGGATGGGCAAACTTGATCCTCGAGGGCCGGTGTCCCTGCAGAGTTTTGTTCCAACACTAGTCAAACACACCTAAACAAACTAATCAGTGTCTTCAAGATCACTAGAAATCTTTAAGCATGTGTGTGTGATTAGAGCTGGAGTTAAACTGTGCAGGACACCGGCCCACCAGGACCGAGTTTGCCCACCCCTGGGTTAGACAAACCATATTTTTTATTAATAACACACAAGCCTCTCCTATAAATGAGCACTGGAATTATGATCGCCGGACCAATGGTTTTTGTGCAGTATTGCCAAAAATGCCAGAAGCAGAAATGTTACTATTTACCCCACCTACAGGGCAAGCTGTAACAGACAGGGAGCTTGTGGTAGCAGATTTCACACCATTTATTTAAATTCAGTTTCAAGAGTTCACACTTTGATATTGTTTGACAACTGTTAGCAGGTTTGGCATGCTGTCCCGGGAGAGAACCCTAAGCTCGGAGATAGTCGAGTCCAGGGCTCCTGCCAGGTCCATAGAGCATGTGAGGGGATTACGAGATCAGGGGGTTCTCGAGAACTTAAAGGAGGAAAGGAGGAGAAAGGGGTGGATGGGGGGTTTCTTCGGAAAACGAAGATAAGAAAGCAAATCTAGCTAGGCTACTTATAGTGAGTTAAGATTGATCTGATTGGTTAATTAATGAGTGTAGATGGGTGGCCAGCTGCAGTCAATCATATCACGTGCTCCTCTCGACATTAGTTTGTGAAACTTCACTTACTTTAAATAGTAGCTATATTTCCTCAGTAGTTGCCTCTTTTCTTTTTTATTCTACATAGCACAGTATGTTTATGTATTCATTTGTTTATCGGATAAACACATTTGAATCTATTTGTAATATTATCCATGTATCCATTATTATACAATGCATTTATTTGCATTATTAGCAATAAAAAAATATTTTATATATTTTTATCCCAAAAAAAAAACGTTTTTATTTAAAAAGTTCTCAAAAGTAAACTCAAAATTCAAAAAATATTGTGTTAGTTTGGTGTCCAACAGTGTGTGGGTTAATTGTAACACCCTGTTACAACTTGTGTTGTGTTATTTTTTCCTCAAAATTGGCTAGCAGTCACTGTGTGTGTTTTACATCTTTCAATATGGTTCCAACTTTTAGCCTAGAAGACGATGATCACAACAATAAAAGACTTTACTAACAAACTTTCACTGATTTTTTTTAAAAATAAAAAAGTATTGACTATAATAAAAAATATTTTTATGCTGCAAAAATGGTTTCTCCTGTGTTCCTCGTTCCCAGAATTTTGTCAATAATTGGCAGGAAGATGTCTGCTGACACTGTGGTGAAAACCTAGGAAGCATGCCAAGTTCAACCCTGAGCAAATACCTAAAAAATCTGTGTTACATTTAACCTCGCGTTACTTTGTGCCCTGCGCTTCTCTATGGCTTATACATTGCACTGATATATATATATATATATATATATTATAATGAATTACTTGCACCTTAGAAGACTAAATGCAATGATTGCTTGATGGTTTCGGGTGTGTGAGATGCTCCTTGGGAGCTTAAGACCGTTCTGGAGGTAATAATTCTAAAACACTTTGATTTTGACTTTGGCTGAGGCATTTTAGACTGATCAAAACAACATTTCAGATGTTTTACATTGTGGTTGGTCCAATGGTTTGTCTATTGATGCTGTCTCACCATTTTGACCGCATTGAACACATCACAAAAATATATTTCTAAAAGTGTCGTTGACTTGAAAGTTTCACCAGATAACAGTAACAATAACAGCAAATCCATACACATAAAGAAACAAAACTAACTAGTTCAGAATTTAAGGTATGTGTAGTAAACTAAAATGACACAGGGAAAAAGTTTTGAACACATGAAGAAAGCAAGGTGTAAAAAGGCATGATAAGCCCAGACAGCAGCTGAAATCTCTCATTTAGAAACTAATCCTGCTGTTCCGTCAGTCTAAATGAATATTATCTACATTACCTTACTAGATGAAGTCAATGAGAACATAGGATGAAACCATACAATGGACATTTCTGCAAGACAATGAACCCAAACACAGCCAAGGAAACTCTCAACTGCATTTTGGAAAAGAAAATAAAGCTGCTAAAATCACCAAACCTGAATCCAATAGAAAATAAGAGCTAAAGACCAGATTTCATAAACAAGATTCACATTTCAGTAGTTCAGTACTTTGTACCTCATTTTTCTGAATAACCTTGGCTTTGTTTTATTTGTATTTGTGTTTTGGGATTGTTTGCATTTATACCCAAATCTCCAAATTATAGAGTTAATTACAGAGAGTTAATTAAATGTACCTTTAGAAATACATTTACCAGGAAAAAGCATGATGTGTTCGATACTTATTTTACCCGCTGTAGATGCCACTCGTCAAAAATGGAGCCGCTCTATTGTTTCAAACAAATCTTCAATGAGTAGAGTATTTAGTCTAACCTTGATCTCCTTTCTCGCCCCTCTGTCCGTCACGTCCATCTCTGCCATCTCTTCCAGGTTTTCCACTGTGCCCAGGTGTGCCTGGAACACCGCCCATCCACATGGCACATGGCTGTCTGTCATCAGGTGGACTGAGATCCAACCCCTCTTCCTCAGGTTCCTCCAGCTCCTCGATTCCCTCAGTGGCCACTTCATCCACTGCTGTCTCTAAACTGTCCTCTAGTAGTTCGTCTTGACCTCCACACAGATGTCCAGTCAGGATGATGCCCAAAATGATTGTCCTTAGTAGTGACATGCTGATAGTAAATAAAACAACATAAAAAAAAAACATGTTAATCTATGAGCAATTCCATGCAAATGTCAATCTTGGCTTAGTTTATACCAAAATAGCGAAATCCCATCTACATTATTTACAATACTTGTAAAACACTCAAAAATGTTTCTGTCAATGTTTTTTTCTGTCAAAACTATTATATTTGATTTACCAAAGTCACACAAGTGGCAATTACCCATCTGTCACATTGATAACTGAGAGGTGTCACATCCATAACCAAGCGTTTCCCTCATAAATGCAAATTCAAGAGTTCACACTTAGCTCATGATTTAAATATATAGTTTGTTTGGCATGCCGTCCCGGGAGAGAGCCCTGAGCTCAAGGGATCCTCGAGCACAGAGCTCCCCCCTTTCGCAGGGCGAGGGGAGAATGAATTCAGGATCGATCTCAAACTCCCCTTTGGCTGAGGCCAAGGCGAACTTCCTAAGAGTAAGACATTAGAAAAAAAAGATTTAAGCTTATTGATCTATAATATAGAGCACATTTGGATGGTGGGAGGAAACCGGGGGAAACCCACGCGGACACGTGGAGAACATGCAAACTCCATTTAGAAATACCAGATGGCCCAGCGAGGACCCAACGCCATTGGTATTCTTGCTGTGAGGCTACTGTGCTAGTCACTGAGCCACCGTGCCACCCATTCTGGATAAAGGTGGAAGAAGGGGAGGAGGGGGGTTTCTTCGAGACAAAGATAGTTCTTTAGACATTGGAAAAAAGATTTAAGCTTATTTAACTATTATATAGAGCATATTTGGATGGTGGGTGGAAACCAGGGGAAACCCACGCGGACACGGGGAGAACATGCAAACTCCACTCAGAGCGCAGCAGCACGAGTGGTCTTTAATAAACCTAAAAGAGCACATGTTACTTCGCTGCTCATCCGTTTGCACTGGCTGCCAGTTGCTGCTCGCATCAAATTCAAAGCTCTGATGTTTGCTTACAAAGCAATTTCTGGCTGCGCTCTTTCTTATCTGCTCTCACTTCTGCAGATTTATGTGCCCTCCAGAAACTTGCGTTCTGTGAATGAACGTCGGCTTGTGGTTCCATCCCAAAGAGGGATTAAATCACTTTCCCGAACTCTTGCATACAATCTGCCCAGTTGGTGGAATGAACTCCCCAACTGCATCAGAACGGCAGAGTCACTCGCTGTCTTCAACTCAACTATTTAGTCTCCACTTCCCTTCCTAATCTGCAATTGCCTCTCTGGCTCCACCGTTAACTGTACTACAAAAAAAAAAAATAATAATAATAATAATTAAAAAAAGAAGAAAAAAAATTACTAATGTTTTGCTTCTTACACTTCACATACCTGAAACATGCCTACAGCACTTATTCATTGTTGTCTCTTATAGTTTTGTAAATTGCTTCCTTGTCCTCATTTGTAAGTCGCTTTGGATAAAAGCGTCTGCTAAATGCCTAAATGTAAATGTCCACACAGAAATACCAGATGGCCCAGCGAGGACCCAACGCCATTGGTATTCTTGCAACAGTGCTAGTCACTGAGCCACAGCCTCCCATTCTGGATAAAGGTGGAAGAACGGGAGGAAGGGGGTTTCTTGGAGACAAAGATAGTTCTCAAAAATGTCAAAAGGATATAGTGAATTTTGATTTTTCAGAACATCATCCGGTGTATGAAATATCGAGAAAAATGTTCATTGAAATGTCTTGTTCTTCAAACCAAAGACAAAACAAATGCAGTTTGTTCACCAAAAGCTTCTGTGGGGAAAAAAAAAAAAAAAACTATTTCTATGACATTGCGGTTAATACATTTATTTGGAATCCTTTTTATTCATTTCATTCAATTATTTATTTTGTAATAGTGTATATTTCATATAAACCTCAAAGATCATACACTTCTTTTGACTTGCTGTTTTGAAGTCTTCAATGTTTCATCTAAACTGTTTAAAACATATTTTTTAGTGAGATCAAAACAAACAGATCATGTTCGATCCAACTATTGCTGATTCAAAGATTCTATATTAGCACAATCAAATGAAAAAGAGGTTTTTCTTACCTGCTCTCTAAGGGGCCCAAAAGCACAGAGCAGTGAGAGGAACCGCAGAGCGATGCAGCTGCTTTTGTTGGAGACTCACTGTCATCGCTCAGGGCTTTTCTGAACTATATTTATCAGAGTCTAAAATGTATTTATGGCTCAATAAACATCAGGCCACTTTCTCCGGTCTGAATCTATTCTGTCTGACATAGACATACCCTATTAAAGGAGGGCTTGATTTAAATGCTACGGTATTTGAAGAACAACAGAAATACCCAGGCTTATTCTGAAAACGTATCGCTATGTATATTTCTGAAGAGCGCCAAATACGTCCCAGGAGGTATTCTTCTTTTGCAGTTTTCGTGAGTCCACCAGAGGCCGATGTGTACATTTTTCATGCCATTCGTGCCTGCATAAATCCACCAGAGGCCGCTGTCGACTGACTGAATGACTTACAGTTCGACTGACCCACCCCCCCAATATAGTCTGGCTGCAGATTTGCACATGCACCTCCAGGCTTGCACGCTCAAGCAACCGCACTTCCTCTGCAATTGATGTTATTTACGATCGCCACCTGTGTCTTCTTGCATAAAAGTCCTCTGGTAATTTAACTTAAGGGTGTCCCTGAGGCTGAAAAATCTCTGGGGTAATGGATTTCATTAAGATTGTAGCAACAAACTTCCTCTGTCATGTTGTACAACGTAAGTAGGCTACTTAGAATTATTTGACAACGTCGTAACTGGCAACGCAAATGAACTGGAAACTTACTTTTGGTTGATTTGTGTGGATTTCAAGTAACACGACAGGTGCATTTTTCCATTGTAAATGATGTCACCCTTCTCCAACCTCCTCATTCCCTAAACCCAACCAATAGTGTTTTCAAAAGCACCGGTTGACCCAAACCACCCACATGCCTAAACCCAACGGACAGTTTTAAAAAGCAATCCAGAAAAAGAAATGGCCTCGTCTGAATTTTACCACATTTTCAGATTTTCCACATTCTCACGCTGTTATTTACTTGTTTATTTTTATTTTTTGGCTTGTTTTTTTCTTTTACCTGCTTTCCAGAATCGTTCTTCATTAAACTCAAAACTTGTCATTGTGGTCAACCCCTCCCTGCGTCTCAAGTCCGTTGATATACATGGCGAGCTACTGGGCAAACTGGTAACAGCTGGAAAGCTGTCCACATGGAGGTAAGCGGTCAGCTGGTAAGCGTGAAAAGCTTATAAAAATATTGCGGAATGCCAACGCAATCCCACGGCAGTTTGCAACTTTTTGATTTAGTGACTAATTCGTATGATCTTATTTGTGCAATTTAATACAATTTGCTCATCACCCAATGATGGTTGGGTTTAGGGGCCTGGTAGGGTGCCACGCCTTAAAAATCGTAAATTTTTGTACGACTTAACTTGTACGAATTCATACGAATCAGCCACCAAACTGACAAAACATAAAATACTTACGTTTTCTCTTGAGATCAGGCTGGGAATGCACTTTTCCGCTCGTTTTGTGAGTAAGCCACATTTATAAATAAGACTCCTTTTCGCGGAGTCTTTTTTAGTTTTGTAGTAGCAAAATAGGCTCATTCTGAAAATGTAGGTCTTTATACATATATGGTGATCGAGAATTATGTAGCCAGAGGAACGTATGGCTGCATTTCATCTTTGAAACGACGCTGGTAGGACATCGTTCCTTTTTTCGCTTACCAGCTGATCGCTTTCCCAGTGGCTTGCCGTGTACATCGAGTCTGGCGAAGAACAATTACAGAAAGCAGTAAAACAAAAGCCAAAAAGTAAATAACAGGGTGAAAATGTGGTAAAATCTGAAAACGTGGTAAATATCAGGTTGCTGCGAGGGCAGTTCTTTTTCTGGATTACTTTTGAAAAAACTATCAGTTGGGTTTAGGGAAGGAGGAAGGTGGGTCACTCAGTCAGTCAGTCAACAGCGACCTCTGGTGGATTTACACAAGAACAGCTGGTGCAAATGGCACTCGAGAGAGAAATTTCAGATTTCAAAAAGCATACTCAGCAGCCTCTGGTGGATTCGCAAAAACTGCAAAAAAAAAAAAAAAAGTTCCTCCTGGTAGATTATCCAGAAATGTACAAAGGGTTTGTATTCAGAATGAGTCTGGGTTCGAATTAAACCACCTTGAATCCTCATTTGAGTCATAAGCATAAATAAAGTTTTTAGGTGTACATTCACTTTTAGGAAGGTTTCTATGCAGATTATATGCATTTCTTAAATGCCTATGAATTTCAATAAAATCCTCACTTATCCTGCACTTTTGATATTTACTAAAAATTTAACCAGTTTACACTGTTAAAAAAATATTCCTTCATGTTGTCCTAAACCAAATGGATTAACTTAACTTTAGTGGAATGAACATAAAACTATTGAGTAGTTCACAAAAAGCAATTAATTTTAAATACACTGAAAAAGTGTTGCATGCAGAACTGTTGCAAACAATTTATTTGTGTTGATTTTAAACAAACAAATGAAATGTAATAATGTTCACCTTGTTTTGTTTATTTAAATTCAGCCCAAATAAATTGTTTACAACCACTTTACGTAAAAAAAAAAAAAGAAAATCCAAGGAATCATCTTTGAATAATTTTTTTCAGTGTATGAAGTTTAAACAAGCAGAAAAAGTATTGTTTGAGTGTATTTCTGGAAGCAAAAGCTGTGAATATAACCATTACCCCCCCCCCCCCCCCCTTCTGCAGTATTGGATCTTTTATTTTTTTATGTAAAATATAAAAATATAAAATCTGCATCAGTAAATATCCTGGTCCCTCTATTTGAGTTGAGTAGAACAAAGTAGAGCTCAACCAGATGGTGGCAGTACATGTTCATCTAATGCTATTTTGTGTTTACACTTTCAACCATTACTGTACATTCTCTGTCCCCTTTAAAACACTGTTGGCAAAAAATAATTTACAATACATATTTCATTTCACAGATGTAAAAGTAGGTTAGCTAGGTTCGCTGGCAGAAACAGACTTTCTAGATCAGCTGTCAGTCCACCAGATGTCAGTTCAAAGAAACAATTATTAAAAGAAATGCTTCTAAAATCACACTAAATTATTATTAAAGTTGATCTATAAATAACCCACAAGTACACTGAAAAAAAGATGTCTGCAAAATTGTTGCAAACATTTTATGTTTTAAATTTAAACAAATTACTACTTATTTTGTTTGTTTAAATTCAGCCTAAATCAATTTTATTTAAAACCACTTACCTTTGGTAAATCCAAATAATCCTCTTTGAATTATTGTTGTCAGTGTACACAGATTTAAATAGCTGTTTTTTTTTAATTGTATTTATTTAATTTAAATAACAATCATGTGTTTAAAAAAATTTAAATGAGTAAAAGTGAAACAATGTAATTAGCATAACACTCAAAAAAATAAAACATCTATTATTTAAACAAACTACTTATTTAAATAAATTCGAAACAACACAATTCTTGATTTCATTGGGGGGACAACTTAATTGTTTTGTGTTGAATCCACTTACATTTGTACAAACAATTCAATTTGAGTTGGGACAACATGAAGGAACTGTGTGAAACCCTGTAATTTTTACAGTGCACTTATTTTTGTAAACTTAACTATGTTAACTTAGTTCCTTCATGTTGTCCCAACACAAACTAATTAAGTTAACTTGGTCGTTTTTATATATTTATGTGGATTGAATATTAAACAATTAAGTTGTTACCCCCAAAAAAACTCGTGCTTCAACTCATTTTAAATAAGTAGCTTGAACAAGCAGCAAAAGTAATTGTTAAGTGTAAGCTAGACCTGCCACAATATGATCCACTCATCGCACAACACATGGACATGTCCTCAATCATTTTGGTGATGCAATATATATCGCCCATGCATAAAAATCAATTCTAGCAACATATTAACTGACATCTCTATCTCTACTGAAGGTGTCAGTGCCAGTATGGCTAATAAACACTGTAGTATTTACAATAAATTACTATAGAATATTTTCACGTGGGTGTCTGATGACTGAAAATAGACCTGCTAGCAGATATCGCAACATCTGTAGCCCCTTTCACACATACAGACCTTTCCGGAAAATTATTTTCCAGAAAGGTGTGTATGTGTGAACAGGCCCTTTTTGAAAATACCGGTAAATTCGTTCTGGCTATTTTCCGGAAAGAGAAGTTGTAACATTACCGGTAATTTGCTGGAATGCTGCGCTGTGTGAACACAGAAGGAAGATTGCCGGAAAGAGCACGTCCTGCTGACGTGAGACTTCTACTTTAGCCATTCCCAACAATCCAACGCATTCACCTCCGCAGGGTTAATGAAAATAAAAGCCTTTGAATATTTTTCCTGACACATTTAGCTGCTAGATGTTAGTCAGACAATGTTCTTTCTCAATGCCAAATTTGTAAATAATTATCGATAAGATGCTTATGTTTGTTTACCTTCAAGCTCTGCTTCCTTCAGTTGCTTGTCGTGTCGCGTGTGCCCGTGAAGCAGTGAGCGCCAGCACACATATTATGTACAGCTCCACATGCGAAAGTGTTTCTTTATATGTTTTCATCAAAGCTGTTCACAATACCATTTCACAGAGTTTGTAATGTAGTTAAATGTTTACAAATACAAGCGCAGCTGTTTAGAGCTCATTTCTGGGTAATGATGTCAGAATTTATTGATATTTTGGAATGGATGTGTGAATGCTCTTTCCCGGAAAAATGCCGTAACCTGTGTGAACAGCGCTTTTTTGAATTTAATGGTAAAGTCGTTCGGGAAATTTTCTGTGTGAAAGGGTGTTGTGACTTTTTATCTTACACTATTTTGTTAACATATATTATTATTTATCAAGGATATGCGTTTTCACATTCTGATTCCAATGACTCATTATTAAAATGACTATAATTAAATTAAAAATCAAATATGATGTGTTCTTTGGAAGAGTGTACTTGCTTTGTGATGATATTATTATTGTCGTTCTGGCATTATATAATAAGTGGCATAAAATGCTCTCAAAATGACAGTAATACCATTTATTGCAATATATTTTAGTGCAATATACACTTGAAGTTAGAATTATTAAACCACCCCTTTGA